TTTAACAAACATCTTTAAGAGAAAGGATCTAATTAACACATAAGCCCCAGAGTCACAATGACAGTCTGCTTTCATGGTGATCTGTGAATAATCTGAATTCCACCCACTGATTTCAAGTACAGCCCTTGAAATGCAAAGGGGTTTTTATATGAATAATCCCGAAACACTCAGATTTTTACTTTACTTCAATGCAGGAACATTTCTGGTTTACACATCTAGAAAAACTCTAAATTTATCTGGTGCCCTAAGGGGTACCTCTGTCGGTGTGACAGAGAGTCCCTTGAGCATTTTGGGTTAGAGCTGTAAGAATATGAAGGAAAACAGGAATTCTTCCCTCTCCAAGGTCCAAATGAGATATCCCATTAAATAGAGATATCCTTGGGGCAGTATATGCACAGCGTTGTATGAAAAATAAATAAAATAGTGCTTACAGCAGCTCAATTCATAAAGTGGTGGTGGTGATTACAATGATGATAATAATAATAATTACTAAATAAATAATAATTTTTTCTTAGCCTACTTAAAGAAATCACTGCTAATAGCATGAGTTATTTTGTTTATCCCTCCTTATTATAAACGCAAGATACCAAACTGATAGAGCCTGATCCTCTTTTATCTTTACAATTGCTACACTGATTTCACTGGAGTTGGTTCTGATTTAGAGTGGCCTCGGTGAAAACAGAATCATGGTTGCGAAATTTAATTTTATGAACTTTAGGGCTTAACCATGTGGAAAGTCAGTCTATAATACAAAATTTAGATAAATATTTTGTATCTGTTGTATTCACTGGACATTCCTAAATCTTTCAATTATTACCATTATTAATAATAATTTGTTTTTAATTATCTTGTTTAGCTTCACCATCATGAATGGCAGATAAACATGGCATCATGACTATGTTAGAGACAGAAATATAATATTCACAATACATCTTTAGAGCATTAAACAACTCTAATAACCTGAAACTTCTATAAATACAAATTTTGCATGTAGCTAAATGCTTTTTAAATGATGACAGTATTTTTGTGTTATGCTTGATTGCAACCTGTTTTCTAAATTAGAAAAATGTAAATGTGGCATTGACAAAAGATTTAAGAGATATAAAAGATTTAAGGCAGGTTATGTCAGCAACACATCAAAGTAACTCGCATCTATTTAATCAGCATCCCCTGGACTGTGTGCCTTACTTTATTGTTTACTTTCAAATCTATAATAATGTTGTGTCCTTTCACTGGGCAAAGATTCATTTCAGAAACTAATGAATTTAAAAATATGCTTTTCCCTTGTCCATTTGATACAAAGCCCTGCAATTTGACTTTCATTGTTTGTTTCCCTCCTTGTATCACCAATCCTTTTCTCTCTTTCTTTCTTTTTACTTTATTACATTTTTTATTGAGGACTGAGATGAACTGGTTGCTGCATCATGGGCCCATTACACTTCCTAACAATTCCATTTACACCTTATTGTTTGTCTTATTGCTGGAAAATTCAGGTGATTCATCATGCCCGAAGAAGCACCTGATCCCAATTCCCTTGATATCACGATCGCTATGTGACAGGAATACAGTTAACGGTGGCTTTCAGACTCTAACAGGCCAAGGTGATAACTCTTTTGGGACTTTTAGCCTCTCAAGTATTGATGAGTTCCATTTTCGTAATGCTGTGTTTTCTTGCTTCCTTTCAACAGCCGTCTGAGTGTGGAAAAGGGTTTGGAGTTAATAAAGGATGTGGCAGACCTCCTGAAGCTGCAGATGAGTGCCTTTGATGATATCAAGTACGTATATAGGGCTCATCCCTTTTATTTTATATGGCCGCTCATTATCTTTAAGTCATCTCTTAAATTTTAACACCAAAATTCATCCTATGGAGAGGGGAAAAAAAGGATATATTGACATTCTTTATAATGTTTTGTATATGGTTAGCAATAGGCTCTTTAATCAAGTAAATGTCTAACAACATCCTCAGTTTATCGCTAGGATAAAATAAAAGGAAAAATGATAACATATCATGTCTTCAGAACGTTATACAAATCCAAACTATGTTCACAGAGTCTATATTCAGGGAGTATTGAGCTCTGTTCCACAGAGGGAAAAGTAATGTCAGAAAGAAGTTAGGAAGCAGGAATGACTGATTTTGAGTCCTGTGCTCAGAGCACTAGATTTTGTCTCTCTCAAAGTTACACACTTAACAGGTCACAGGCTTAGGTTTAAATGTATTGCTTTATGATTCACACTGGCAAATGCCGTGCATGTTCCTCTTGTATATAAGACAGGTTGTGGCCTGTTGTATCTGACACACAAAAATTACTGCTTAGATTCTCTAAGACATTTAGGTGCAGATGTTTACATAAGGACTTTAACTCCTCCTTTTTAACACACCAATATTCAGGTAATATAGAGAGAATGCTAAGTTTGAGAGAACTGATGGGAGAGGAAGGTTAGTTCACAAGAAGGTTTAGAAGAGTTCAGGGAAAACTTGTCCTAAGGGACAGCTTTGCGGGGGGCCGATAGAATCCATCTGTTTGAGGAGATTCAGGAGCTGATAGCTTGTGTTTGTTGAACTGTGTCACTGCATTGCTTCGCCTTCCTTAGTCCGCTCTGCAGTGCCCTGAGGCTGTTTATATCTCATGGAACATAAATATCGTTATTTTTCTAGTGCTAAATCTTAGATTTACAATGAGCAGATTTTGTAGATCAGTGGACTGCTCATTTGCTCTGCATTATCGTATAGCTCATTGAATGCTAAGATTGCACAGTGGTGCTCAACCTATGGTTGATAGCCCAGATCTGGCCCCTTAAATGACTGGATATAGCTCACAGCAAGGGGGATCAGCAGCAAGCAGCTTGGCTCAGCGCATCCCCATCCCTGTTCTGTGCTGTGCCACTGATCTCCTCTGCAGCCTACTCTGCCCTCGCACTCTTCCCTCCACCATAGCGGGCACTGCTCACTCTCTCCACCCCCTTCCCTACACTAGTGATGTTTACCAGAGCTCTGCCCACCCTCCTTTCCCCTTTGGCAGGTGCTGTTTACCAGTGTTAAGCTGTCTTCTTCTCTCCCTCCCCTCCCTCTGACATTGGCAACCACCTTTCTCCTCCTCTCTTTCCCCATTCACCCTACAAAAGGAGCGTGGTGGCCCGTGGCAGCCAGGTCCCAAGCACCCACCTGCTGTGCTAAAATGCAGCATATGTTAAGCAAGGGAGTTAATATCTCCTAGTAGTTACCACTGTTTTTTAATTTCCTGTCAGTCCCTTTGGGAAAACATGTCTATTTTGCCATCCATGTACCTGCTACCAAACACCCAGAGCTCCAAGCTGCTACTAGTTAGGTATAGGCATCCTCAACTGAAATTGCCAGGGAAAGAATAGAAAATTAGGCAGTGTAAGAATATGTGATATCTTTCTTGAACGCTGAGGAACGGAAGTAAACAAACAAACAGGGACATTTCTCTTGGGTTAGGGACTATTTAGAAAAGCTGGCTATGTACAAGTCCATGGGGCCAGATGCAATGTACTTGAAAGGGCTCAGGGAGTTCGGTGCTGTAATTGACCATTATCTTTGAAAGCTCATGGCAACTGGGAGAGATCCAATATGATTGGGAAAAGGCAATCATAGTGTCCATCTTTAAGAAAGGAAAGAAAGAGGATCTGGGGAACTCTAGACCGATCAGCCTCAGCTCAGTCCCTGGAAAAATCTCCAAGAAATCCATTTCCAGGTTCTCAACAAATCCATTTCTCAGCACTTGGAGGAGAAGAAGGTGATTAGGAACAGTCAGCATGGATTTACTGGGGGCAAGGCATGCCTGACCAACCTGACTGCCTTCTCTGGTGAGATGACTGGCTCTGTGGGGAGAGCAGCGGATGTGATGCACCTTGCCTTTAGCAAGGTTTTTGATATGGTCTCCCACAATATTCTTGCAGGCAAGCTAAGGAAGTATGGGCTGGATGAATGGACTATAAGGTGGATAGAAAACTGCCTTGATGTCTAGTTGGCAGCTGGTATCAAGTGAAGTGCCCCAGGGCTCGGTTCTGGGGCCAGTTTTGTTCAATATCTTCATCAGTGACCTGGAAGATAGGATGAAGTGCACCCTCAGTAAGTTCACAGATGATACTAAGCTGGGTGGAGCAGTAGATATGCTGGAAGGTAGGGCTAGGATTCAGTGACCTGGACAAATTGGAGGATTGGGCCAAAAGAAATCTCATGAGGTTTAACAAGGACAAGTGCAAAGGCCTGCACCTAGGACAGAACAATCCCATGCATCAGTACAGATTGGGGGCTGACCGGCTGCGCAGCAGCTCTGCAGAAAAGGACCTGGGGGTTACAGTGGACAGCAAGCTGAATATGAGACATCTTGTGTGCCCTTTTTGCTAACAGCATACTGAGCTGCATTAGTATAAGTATTGGCAATAGATTGATTATTTCCCTCTATTTGGCACTGGTGAGGTCACATTTGGAGTACTATGTCCAGTTAGGCCCCCCCACTGTGAATGGATGTAGAGAAATTGCAGAGTCCAGAGGAGGGCAGTGAAAATGGTTCAGGGGCTGGAGTACATGATTTGTGAGGAGAGGCTGGGTGAACTGGGCTTATAATATTCACCTTCAGCTACCTGAAGGGTGGTTCAAAGAGGATGGAGCTGGACTGTTCTCAGTGGTGGCAGATAACAGAACAAGGAGCAATGGTCTCACGTTGCAGCAAGGGAAGTTTAGGTTAGATATTAGAAAAAAATAAAGCACTTGGACAGGCTATCTGGGGATGTTGTGGAGGTCCTTGGAGATTTTTAAGATACGGCTAAACAAATCCTTGACTAGGATTATAGTTGGGGGCTGATCCTGCTTTGAGCAAGGGGTTGGACTAGATGACCTCTTGAGGTTCTTTCCAAGCCTAATTTTCTATGATCCTATTATTCTGTGAGTTTTTGAAAAAATTAATAAATTTTCTCCAGTATTTCAAAAGCATTGGCAATTTGAAAACAGCCCAATCTTGTTAAAGAAAGTTGCAAGCTATCTCATTCTGTATGACCAGAATCCTAAAACGTCTATGTCAGTTTTTCCATCATAGATTTCTTACATTATATTCTTTAGCTATAACATCTTAATAAAAATATTTGCAAATAGTAAGAACAAGGAATGTAGTTCCTTTATTTCCAACAAGAAATGTAGTTCATAAAATCATGATGGGTGGGGGGAGGAAGCAGAGATTCAAGTAATGAATGTTTTGGTCCTTTAGCTAAAAACAAAAGGAAAATCAATAAAAATATTTGGTTCAGGCTGAAGAAAAACCAAGAGCAAAACCTGTTTTCCAGTCATGTAAATAAACCAAAATTGTTACTTTGGAAATCACTTGGAGAGGGGCTTTCTGTCACTGAACTCAGTCCCCTGCTGTAGCAAACAGTCACATCATGTAAACCCATTCCAGACCCTGAGCAAACCCAGAAAGGTTTAATATGACCCAGAAAATAATTTTTCCCAATGTCAAAACAGAACCTTTCAACATTAAAAAAAAAAAAATCCTCCATGTGAAACCATTTTTTTCCATGTGAAACCATTTACCAAATTCAATCTAAATTTGCACGTAGCTTTGTTTCTCCCTCCAAAAATGTATTTTTGTTGATTTTATTGTTTTCTGGAAAAATGTTGTACATCTCTTCAACATTCTATGTAATAAGATTTTTTTTTGGAACAAAATGATTTAAAAAAACAGTGGAAGTGTCAGGCTTATTGGATTCCTACAAAAGTCTCTACAGTCTTTCATGAAGAAATAAAGCTTTTGTTTTTTGGTTGTTAAATGCTAAATTGTTAAATGACTCATTCCTGAAATTGGTCTTTGGTTCTTTCTTAGAATTAAATGTACTTCAAAATTTAAAAAATTGCTGGAGAGAAGGAAACCCAAACTAAAAGTTAGACCTGAGTCTGTCACAAACAACTTTTGTTTGTTTTGTGGATAGGTGGGATTAGAGAAGTTGGTTTCCTTGAATCCATTCATATATATAAAAGTAGGACTAGGCATAGCTGAACAGATAGCAAAGTTATTCCATGTAAATACTGTATTAAAACTCAGCAGTATGGATGACAGAGATTCCAAATAGGATAGAGCTCATTGTTTTTATTAACATTAACCACATCTATACATGAGGTTTACTGCGGAGTAGATTAATAAGTGATGGAGGAAAGCATCACTGTCTACACGTGCGACGGTATGAGGCCTCAGTAAACTAATTTACATCAGCATAAGGTAGTACTACTGGGGACAGTATTATCTTTCAGCAGGGTAATTTACTGCAGTTAAATGCACGTATAGACGTTGACCCTGTGTGTAAATTGCTCCCAGTCAGCCAAGCCAGCTGGGGGCCAGACTCCTGCCTGCTGCCTAGCCACATGACTCTGCACTTTCAGCACCCTTGTGCTCCAGCCAGCCCCTCTGCAACCAGATGCTTACACCCAGAGCCTGGGGCTGATCTCCCTGTACCCAGGCCTGCTCCACCCTGGCTCAAATTGCTTCCATCCCAGGTGCACATGTACACACTGCACACATGTAGACATTGTGCCAGGGAGTAGTTTAGTTTGGCTCAAACTGCTCCAGAGTTTTTTTCTTTTGTATTAATGCATATGTAGAAAAAGTAGTAAAAGTTTTTTAAATTATATGAGTTCTATGCCTTTATTTGAATAATATTTATAATCTATGGGAAACTGGAATGAAATAATTTCCCTAAACTCAAGTCAGTGACAAATAAGTGTATTTTGTTAAATTAATTAGATGTTTTGGCTCAAGTTCAACTC